CGAACATCGCTGTGGGGCAGAGCGTAGACTGGTGCAGCCCTGCTGGAAGCAATTTGGCAGCTCTTTATCACATTAAGTATGAGAGTAGCCTATGATCCAGGAATATCACTCCTGGGTGTACACCCTAAAACAATCCTTACACTGGTCCACAGGAAGCACCTGGAAGGATCTCCTGACAGTATTGTATGTAGAAAAGGGAGTCGAAGGCAACCTGAGTGTTCAATGCCTAGGGACTAGGTAAGGTGTACTTGATGTGCACAGTGCGAGACCAAGCAGACATTAACACCAGTGATGCTACACACTGCAGCATGGCTACATCATAAAGACAATGCTGGGTGGGAAAAAAATGAGACACAGGGCCGGGCACGGTGGCTCACGCCTCTAATCCTATCACTCTGGGAGGTCGAGGCGGGAGGATTGCTGAGCTCAGGAGTTCGAGACCAAGCCGAGGCAGAGCGAGATCCGCATCTCTACTAAAATAGAAGACATTAATTGGCCAACTAGAATATAATATATTAGTGAGAAAAAGATAGCGTGCGGCATGGTGACGGCCATGCCATAGTCCCCTACTCGGAGGGCTGAGGCAGAAGGATTGCTTGAGCCCAGAGTTTGAAGTTGCTGTGAGTTAGGCTGAAGCCACAGCACTGTAGCCCTGACAACAGAGTGAGACTCTGTCTCAAAATAAATAAATGAGACACAGAATAAGGTTATTAGCCAAACTATGTAAAACTGATAATTTGATGTAATCGCTAAATGGATATATCATTACTAAATAGCACTAGACATTTTGCAAGGATACATGCCAGACACACTACAGCTGTTGAGGAGGATGAGACTGGGAAATGATGAGGCAGGAAACAAGTGACATGCATGCAGACAGTAAAGTGTATAAAAGAAGCATCTTGCACGGTGCAGGTAAAAAAAAAAACGATCTCTTACTCAACATTCTTACACGGATATTAAAATGACCGCGTGGTAGATACACAAATACACAAACTTAGATAAACATTGTATACTCCAACACATAAATATCTGGAAGATGGAAGACATGAACCTTCACATTTTTATAGTCCAATAAACACAGAGGAAAAGTTCAGAAGTGAAAACAAAAAACAGCTTGGAACACAGACGAAAACAAAAAGCCATCCATGGTAATGACTTGACACAACATTCCCAACACAGCCTCTGTTTGTTTTGTCCTATGGCTTTTGTTTTTTTTTTTAGAGCGTGGTAAAATAACAAACAAACAAGCAGAGGAAAACATCATTATAGCTCACTGCAACCTCAAACTCCCAGGCAAAAGTGATCCTCCTCCCTCAGCCTCCTGAGTCAGTCGAGACTACAGGCATGTGCACCGATGCTACAAGCTTAATATTAAAATAAAAGACAGAGTCTTGCTATCCACTGCAAGACTGGTCTCGAAACCTGAGCCTCAACATCCATCCCTCCTCAGCTTCCCAAAGTGCTAGGATCTACAGAATGTGGTAGCCACCTGTGACGCCAGCCTCAACAAAACCTCCTATTTTGAATGCGCTGTTTCAGCGGCAGGGCCTACTGGGAGAGCAGGTTTGTTCAAAGCCTTGTGGACCAGGGAGATGAGCCATACCATAAGGAAAGTAATTCAGGCAGAGGGCAGAGTCAGTTCCACCCATAGGAGCTTGGGAGGAGTAAATGATGTCACGGTCCCCTCACACAATTCTCACAGTAAGCAGTCAGCAATGTTGAGGCCACGCGTCTCTCCCCTTACAGAGCTGTCAGGATCCAGGCGACCACTGAGAGCACCTGCTAGCTCCAGTGATAGCGACACTCTGGCTTCTGAGGTTCTTTGAAACACTGTTCGCATCTGCCATCCACCTTAGGAGCACTCTCTCTCGCTGACCACAGCCGGCAGGGCCTGGGAGAGAGTTGTCGCTGCTGGGGCTCCTGCCTGCACGGGACGCACAGGAGACTCCACGGAGGAAGCTAGAAACACCGAGGTGGAGGATCTCACCAGCTGCTATTGCCCTCAAAAGATCCCTGCCGCAGCACACACCAGGCTGTGTCTAGAAGGGCTTTGGCAAGGGTACAGTCACATGGGGGAGGAGAGAGGGAAAGGGACCCATACTTACCAAGGCAGATCTGGGTTTGAATATTATTCTGCCACTTAATAGCTCTTTTACCTTTATAAATCACTGAACCCCCTTAGCCTTAATTTTCCCATCTGTAAAATGGACATCAAAGTATCTATTCTGTAGGGTGCTTGTGAGGACTCAATGCGACAAGCTAGGTAAAAGTGGCAAGCAAATAACTGAGGCTCCCTTCCTTCTCTACCAGGTACCCTGGAGGCAGCCAGTGTGTCTTATTCAGTCAGCTCAGGTCCTTATTTATTTTATTCATTTCTGCGGGGATAAATTCACCTACCTTTCAAGGGGAATATGAGGTTTCAATGAGATAAAAGATCAAAACTGTGCTTAGCATAGTTACTGGACCAAAATAGGCACTCCATAGGTCTTGTTGGGTACCGGGATGGAGGGATGGATGGATGGATAGATGGGTGGGTAGATGGGTGGGTAGATAGATGATAGATGGATGGATAAATGGATGGGTGGCTGGATTGATGGATAGATGGGTGCGTAGATGGATGGATGAATGGGTGGATGAATAGATGGGTGGGTAGATAGATGATAGATGGATGGATAAATGGATGGATGAATAGATGGATGGGTAGATAGATGATAGATGGATGGATAAATGGATGGGTGGCTGGATTGATGGATAGATGGGTGGGTAGATGGATGGATGAATGGGTGGACAGATGGATGGCTAGGTGAGAGGTTGGCTTGCTGGCAAAATATCAAAGGGCACATGATCTGTTCTGTAGAAATACCAATTCTGCATAAAAAACCAGGTGCTTTACAAGAGGCGTTTATTATATCTCTTTGTGACCTTAGGTCTATAAAACAGATGAATAAAAATAGGCATAAGCATATCCGTTTCTAGTCAGCTGTGACCTACACTTAATCACTCTCGTGTCTATGACACATCTCGATGAGGCCAGTCTTGCATGAGCCAGCATTCTCCAACTGAGATCACTGGTAGTTCCCTGGGGCAAGGGCTGAGATGAGGAAACTGCAAGGTGAGGCCCTTCTGATACACAGGATGCCTTGGAAACCCCAATCAACGATGTTTCACCAAAAGAGTTAGGACCTTTTTTCCATAATCCCATCACCATTGCAAGAATGGAGAGACGCAGATGAATGGCCAGTTCCATGCTGTGTACCTTCTGCCAAACCTTAGCCCCTCTAAGCTCCATGTTCCTCTTAGTAAGATGACTGGCTTGGACCCTCCCATTTCCAAAATGTCCTGATCCTCTGAAAATCCCCTACATCTTCTATCAAAGTCAAAATAAAAATGTAGAGGAAGCTCTAAATTTAACATATTATTTGGGAAGGAAGAACTGTAATTCAGAATACACACACACACCAATATGTCCAAAGAACAAACAAGGTTAAAGGTTTTATTTTTATTTTTTTCATTTTTCTTTTTCTTTTTCTTTTCTTCTTTTCTTTTCTTTTCTTTTCTTCTTTCCTTTCCTTTCCTTTTTTTTTTTTTTGAGACAGAGTCTCATTCTGTTGCCCAGGCTAGAGTGCCGTGGCATCAGCCTAGCTCGCAGCAACCTCAAACTCCTGGGCTCAAGCAATCCTTCTGCCTCAGCCTCCTGAGTAGCTGGGACTACAGGCATGTGCCACCATACCCAGCTAATTATTCTTTTTAGATATATTTTTAGTTGATAGGCTAATTTCCTTCTATTTTTAGTAGAGACGAGGTCTCACTCTTGCTCAGGCTGGTGAGGTTTTATTTCTCAAAAGGAATGTTACATGTGATCTTGAGAGAAAGTTCATTGGTATTAGTAACGCTTTGGGAAAATGACAAACTCGAACTGGTGGGCAACTCTAGTGGGCAAAATTAGTCCTAGAGGTACAGTAAGTTACCTCAGCAACTATACCTAAAACTGGCTTCAGGTTGTAATAGGCAGTTTCAGCCACAGGATTTGCAGAGAATTACATTTTTAGAGCAATGTTATGTACCCTGAGTGTTTTTCCCCCTGGACCCTTGACTCTCATTTAGTTGGATAGGACAAGAATGACCCAATTTGGATGATCAACTTTCACACTTCCTTTAAAATATGGATGTAGAACTTTGGAAGAATGTGTATTAAATTTCTTCCCCATCTGTCCCTATAGAGTCTCCTTAAACCCTTTCAAAATAATTGCATGTATGTGCTACTATGACTGTTTATGCTCTTCCCTGGGGAAGCCGTACACTTTGGAGACAGACAGATCTCAATTGCAGGTGTTGGCGAGATGATTAGGATCCGGTTCCTGCCCCCAGGGTAGGGAAGACACTATGACATGGATAAACCACAATAGTCATAGTAAATAAGGTATAAAAAAAGGCAAACCCTCCCAGTCTCAAAATGTTGCCTTCAGGAATTCAGAAAGCAGTGTTCTTGGTGTTACTGGAGGTGTTCTGGGCAAGGTCAAAAGAAGAGATGGGCTGGGCATAGCGGCTCACACCTCCAGTCCCCGCTGAAGTGGAAGGATCTTGTGCACTATGATCATGCCTATGAACAGCCACTGCACTCCAGCCTGGGCCACATAGTGAGACCCTGTCTCTAAAAAAAAACCAACCAAACAAACAAACAAAAAAACACGAGAAGAGGCCGGGCACAGTGGCTCACACCTATAATCCTAGCACTCTGGGAGGCTGAGGCTGGAGGATCGCTTGAGCCCAGGAGTTCAAGCCCAGCCTCAGAAAGAGTGAGACCTCGTCTCTACTAAAAATAGAAAAAAAATTAGCTGACCAACTAAAAATAGAAACAAAAAATTAGCGGGGCATGGTGGCTCATGCCTGTAGTCCCAGCTACTCAGGAGGCTGAGGCAGAAGGATCCCTTGAGCCCAAGAGTTTGAGGTTGCTGTAAGCTAGGCTGACGCCACGGCACTCACTCTAGCCCGGGCTGTCCCTATTGAGACTGTGTCAGAAAAATAAAAAAAAATAAATAAAAACACACACAAGAAGAGAAGATGTCTGAGGACACAAGCAGGCCGAGGTTACAGGAGGAGGAACGGTGGCTGCATTGTGGGTGACGAAGAGAGCAGGGCTGGAGCATGGGCTACAGCCTCATCTCCTCCTCCCACCCACCTGGAAGGGGTGAGAGCCCGGCCTGCGTGCTGGGCAACATCCTGGGAGAAGCAGGGAGGTAATCATGAGTCGTCTCCAACTGTCAGAGCTACTCTCTACTGAGCACTTTATGCACGTCACAGCGGGGCTTCCTGAAGCAAGCTGTGTGAGTCACTGGGGCATATGGAGTGACTCTAGACAGAACACAGAGAAACACTTTTAGTAGTTACGTTTTTCTGTTTATGTTTACCTTCCATTTGTGGCAGGGGGCATTAGTTTTTATTTACAATTATGAGTTTTCTTTTAAATAAATGTAAAATATTTATTAAGTAGACACATAGGTGGTACAGAGATATCACAAAGGTTGCGAGGAGGGTACAGAAATGACAGAAATTCAGAAAACACTGTCCATCAGCATACCGCGTTTACCCCATTCAGAGCTCTTTGAGTTGTAAGCGATAGACACCCACTCAAGTCAGCGTAAGCAGAATGAGAGACTGTATCCTGACAAGGGAATCTCACAGCGTCCTGTGAGGTAGGTTTTACCTCATGGGTAACACTCCTAAGAGGTAGGAAACTCAGCTCCATCGGCAAGAAATGATAAAGCCAAGGCTTGAACCTGGGTCTGTGCGACCCCAAAGCTCAAGCATGCTGCACTGGCCAGCTGGTCACCATCAGCCAAGTCCAGCCCTGAGCCGCCATCCCAGACCCAAGCAGGTTACTGGCCCAGTGGGGGACATTCATCAAAGTCAGCAATCGAGCGCTTGCCCAGGACACAGGAAGGAAGCGTCCTAACTTCATGGGGACTCTGTCTGGAAGGAGGGAAGATTCCTCAGAAGGAGCACAGAGCTCTGGAAACCAGAAGCCTCCTCTGAGTCCCTGAGTCTGGAGGCTGAGAGGTTCACATTGCAGGCTCACATCCCTGTCTCGGGGCAGGAGAGGAGGCCCACTTGGAGACATCTGCCAAAACTCACGATCCTCAACAGAAGCGGACACCTGCTGGCCCTTGGGACTGTGACTCCTGGAAGCCAGGTTAGGAGGAGTGGGGGGAGGAGAACTGACAGGCTCCTTCCCCCCAGAGGCCTCAGGCACTTTCCAGCCCAAGTGCCTGTTCGCGTGGAAGCCTCTGGACACTGAGGTGCCCTGGCCTAGAGGGCCCCAATTTTGCTTTGCGGGGTCGTTGAGCCACAGTGGGTGGCTGCCCCACAGGAGGTACTTAGTCAGGGTCTGTCGTGGAAACAGAAAGATAGATGAGGTGGGCATGGCTCTCCCACTCCCCCAGAGCTGACCCAGGCGCACGGCAAGGCCTGCGCAGAGAAACACATCTGCCTCGAGAAGCAAACTCCTGTCCTAGCTTTTGGTCTGTTCATGTTTTGTCATCTCTAGTCACCATTCAGGAAAGGTTGCTGGGTGAGTCAAGAGAAGACTCCACTGAGCCACTTCGCCAGGGAAATGTCACACAGACTTTATGTCTGAGGGCAGATAGAGGATGATACTGTCCTAGCTCAAAAGTCTGCCCCCAAAGATAGTGCCACACAGCTTGCAGGCATGGGGACTGTTCCTTTCCCAAAATTCTTCTCTGCCAGTATCGCATGGGAGTAGTTGCTCAAAGCTCTAGGCTGCTACCCCAGTGGGGTGAACTAGGTGGCTCAAAGTCTGTCCCTGAGGTCTGCACCTGGCCCTGACATTCCTCCCAGCTCTGGAAGACTCAGGATAAGGTCGCAGACAAGGGTGTGCCCAAAGATGGAAGAAGGGGCTCATTCAAGTTCTGGATTTTTCAGCAGTCACTCTGCCATCATCCCTGCCAGGGGGAGGTAGCCCCTATACCTACGGGGCCACCAGTGGCTTGGGAGGAGGTGCCCAGACCACAGCAGTAGCCCTTCTTCCCCCAGCTCAGTCCGTGATGTTCATGGAAGAAAAGGTCTGGACCCAACAAGCAGGGACTAATTCTTGAGGGAATTGGCGGGGACCTGGCTGAGGGGTACAACCACCTCGGTGCCTGTCTCCGTGGTGGCCCGGGAGCATTTCCGGCTGCTGCGCATGCTGTAGAGCTTCTCCGTGAGGTGCTTGCGGAACTTCTTGGTGAGGAAACAGTAGATGACAGGGTCCAGCACACAGTTGGTGCTGAGGAGGCAGAGGGTGACCTGATGCGCGTCGTTAATGGCCTGGTGGAAGTCGCTGTTCTGGTAGCCCAGCTCGGCCAGCGTCCAGGGCAGCTGCACCATGTGGTGGGGCACAAAGCAGATGCTGAACACCGCCAGGACCGCGCAGACCATCCACAGCGCCCGGCGCTTCACCTCCGCGTTGCGCGGCTGCTGCACCGGCTGCGTGAGCAGCGTGCGGATGATGACCAGGTTGCAGAAGAGGATGATGAGGAAGACCAGGAAGAAGCTGAACACGATGAAGATATGGATGACGAGCACCGGCACGCTGCGCTGCTCGTAATGCTCAAAGCAGCGGGTGACGTTGGCGGAGCCAGCCTTGACGGCCACTACGTTAGTGGAGTCCAGGATGAGGAAGTAGGATGCGGCGGCCACGATGGCCACCCAGATGACCAGGGACAGACAGATGCCGCGCTTTCGGGTGGTGGCCTGAGCAGTCTTGATGGGCCGAGTTACTGCCTGGAAGCGGTTGTAAGTGATGACGCCCAGGAAGGCCACAGAGCAGTAGGTGTTGATGAAGAAGAGGCAGCCAGCCAGGTTGCACAGGAATTTGGGGAGAATCCAGTTGCCCTGGTTGTAGTAGTAGACGATCCACAGCGGCAGGGAGACCAAGAAGAGCAGGTCGGCCATGGTGAGGTTCACCATGAAGATCTTTATCTCATTGAGTTTCTTGGAAGGGTACAGGCGGGCAAAGATCCACAGCACGTAGCCATTGGAGACGACCCCAAGAACAAAGATGATGCTGTAAACAATCGGGAAGAGGGTGTATCGGAATTCAGAATCCACTCGAAAGGAATCATTGGGCTCCATCATTCTAGGCTGGAAGGGTCAGCAGGTCACAAGGTCCTGGCTGTGCCTGGAAGACCACACAGGAATTCTGGTTAATAAAGGGCCAAGAAGGGACTGTCCTCTTTCATCAAGACATTCCAAGACTCCCTGCTGTGGTTGGAATGATGGTGTCCCCTCTAAATTTCATGTTGTAACATAATCCCCAGTGCAACAGTGTTAAGAGATATGGCCCTTGGGAGGTGACTAAGGCAGAGGGAACAATGGGATTAGCACACTTATAAAAGGGCTCGAGGTTCAAGGGAGAACTCTTCCCTCCTGCCCTTTTCGCCTTCCTGTCCCTTCCGCCATGTGAGGTCATACCTTTCAAGGCACCATCTTGGAAGCATTTATCTGGGCCTCGCCAGACACTGAACCTGCTGGTGCCCTGATCTTCAACATCCTCCAGAAATGAATTTCAGTTCTTTGTAAATCGCCCAGTCTCAACACTAGTGAACTGAACCCTCCCATTTTGTACATTTTTTAAAAACTCTAAAGTTGATAGTATCTTCCAATTAATTGGCAGTGAGGTTTTTTCCCATATGAAATAATGGTGTAAACGTTTTTACAATGAATAGCAACTAAGATTCAACAAAATCAATAGTAATTCAGTTTCTTTTCTTTCCTTTTATTCAATGTTAAAATATCACTTTCTTTTTTGGTTTATTTTAACTTAAAGTTTTTAATAATTTATTTCTAGTGATAAGATATAAAAATCATGTTATAAAAATTTTAATTTTTCTATTGATGGAATTTGAAATAAAAATGTTGTGGCAAATGCTCTGTATTTTAAAATAATTTATATTCTCATAAAAAGTCTGGAAAATACAGAGAAGTATAATATTTGGGTCATCCAGAGCATAAAATGCTAGGCAGTCATTAAATGGAATGAGTTAGATCTGATTATACTGATACAGAAAGCTATTCCTGGATAACATTGTTAAGTAAAAACAAAACAAAGCAAAAGTTTGAGAAAATGTTTGGTCTGACATCATTATATACGTGTGTATAAATAGACGATCTAGAAAAATACACTTCAAAAAGTTCAGACTGGTAAGTAGCCTCTGGGAAGCTGAGAGGTAGGCTTGTGGAGTTTATTTACTTCATACTTTTATTTGTTTGAACTTTTAAGGAGCATTTATCATTTTTTTAATAGAGGTGGGGTCTCACTATATTGCTCAGGCTAGATTCAAACTCCTGGGCTCAAGAGATCCTCCTGCCTAAGCCTCTCCAGTAGCTGGAACTACAGGTATGTGCCACCATGCCTGGCTAATTTTTTTTGTTGTTGTTGTATTTTTAAAAGAGACAGAGTCTCACTCTTGCTCAGGCTGGTCTCGAACTCCTGAGCTCAAGCAATCCTCCCATCTCGGCCTTCCAGAGTGCTAGGATTACAGGCATTAGCCACCGCGCCCAGCCCTTATGATCTTAATAATTAAAAATTGTTTAAATACAATTTAAAAAGAAGAGTAGAAAGTGGAGAAACCCAGTAGACAATATTTTAACCAAGTATTCAAGAGTGACATCACCATTAATAAAACATATCAACATCATGTACCCCTGTTATGACATACTGGAAAAAAAAAACAATTATCACTTCTGTGGCAGCCTTGCCAAAAATGCATAATCTCAATTTACTCATAAGAAAATGTGGGATAACTCCAAAGTGTGAGACATTCTACAAAATGATTGGCCAGTATTAATTGAAAGTGTCAAGGTTGTGAAAGACAAGGGAAGACTGAGGAACTGTCACAGACTAAAGGGAACATACGACAACGAAAAGCAATGTGAGATTCTGGATTGTATCCCAGAACAGAAAAAGGTCATTATGAGGAAAACTGGTGAAGTTCAAATAAGGCCTATAATTTAGCTAATAACATTGTAGCAACATTCATTTCCTGGTTTTGATCACTGTATTGTGGTTCTACCAGTTGTTAACTTTGGGGAAAGTTGGGTGGAGGGCAAACAGGAATTCTGTACTACTTTGCAACTTTTTTTGAAGGCCTAAAGTTATTTCAAAACAAACAAAAAAATTTTATGTATATTAAAGAAGATTAAAACTGGCCATAATTCCACTGTACAAAGTCTGGCCCATTTTCAACAATTCCTCCCCACCACCCACTCTCCATCCAAACCAGTTGCTCAGCTGGGTGTGGTGGCACATGCCTGTAGTCCCAGCTACGAGGGAGGCTGAGGCATGAGGATCGCTTGAGCCCAGGAGTCTGAGGTTGCAGTGAGTTATAATAATGCTACTGCTCTCTAGTCCGGGCAAGAGAATAAAACCCTGTCTCAAAAAAACAACAAAAGGCTGAGGGAAAAAACAACAACAACCACCAGTTGCTTCCTTTTTTGTCCCTCCCCTCCCCTCTTGTTCCTCCCACTACTGCTGCCACTGCCAGCACCCAGAAAGAACTCAGCCTGGGCTCAGCAAGGCCCAGCTCACCATATATCATAGTGTAGTAAAGAGCACACAACGGGGATTAAGAAGCAAGAAAGACAGTTAACACTCAGGAGCACGCACCTCTTTCTGAGCCAGGCACCTGCCAGGTGCTTCCACATGGACTACTTCATTTCTTCTCACAAAAACCCTTCGTACTAGGAAGTACAGTCTGTATGTTACAGAATAGGAAACTGAGTACAGGGTGGTTGTGTGACTTGTGCAAGATCACACAGCTATTAAGGGATGGTGCCAGGATCTCAGAGATCCAGCTCTGTTCTTTCACACATTCGTCCAACAAATGTTTCTGAGTGCCAACTGCATGTCAGGTGCCCCGCTGAGCACAGGAGCTGCAGGGCGAACGCGGACTGACTGAAGGGGCCCTGCCCTCGGGGAACATACACAAGGAGACACACGAAAGCAATTGCTGTACAAAGAAAATGGGCTGCTGATATGGAGAGCGAAAAGAGATCTACTTAGAAAGGAGGTGACGTTTCAACCGAGGCGTGAAGCAAGAACAAGAGAACCTTCCAGGCAAAGCGATCTGCATGGGGCCAGGACTGTGGCCCAGCTCGGCAGTTTCCAGGAACTGAAATGAGTCCACCAGAAGGCCCTCACCCTGACCTCCAGCTGCCACTCCACCCTCATCTCGTGCCACCTTACCACCAGGCTCCGGCCAAAATGGACTTCCCAGGTGGGTCTTCAAACCTGTCCAGATAGTTTCTGCCTAGGAGCCTCCGTGACACCCATCCACTGCCTTGAAGGCTCTTCCCTACCCACGCCCCACTTTCACCTTGCCGACTCCAACTCCTGCTCGCTGGCCTTAGGCCCAAGACAGTCCCCCACCCCACAAAACTTCCTGTACTTCATAACCCTGAGCACAGTTGTAACCACATTGACATTCGTGTGACTATTTAATGCTTCACCCACTTGTCTGTGAGCAGCAGGACAGCAAGGACCCTGTCTGTCTCTCCAGCACCGCATCCCTAGCAGCAAAAGCCAATAAATGAAGGAAGGGGTGATAAGCCATATTCATTACACCCATCCCTTGGGGAGGCCACAGCAGTAGAAACACTTACAGAAGCCTAAAGATACTTACAGGTATGTTTAAATAAGCAACTGGCCCTAACTGGAATTTTGTTGATTCAGAACATTTTTGTGCTTTGCTCCATTTAGTGTGGTAGGGGTTTATCTACTTTAAATTAAATAAATGTAGGTTTTATTATTCCCAATAAATCATTGTGATTCCTTTAAAAGCAAACTCATCCTCCAGTCCCACTGAATTACGTAGTTGATTTGAAGGTGTATTTTATGCTGTTTCCTCAGCAGCAAAATTACCAGCTTCTACACTGCTGAGACCTTTTCCACCCCAAGGCAGTCTTGCCATCTGATTCCAAGCTCTAGGACAATAATTCTCAAAGGGTGGTCCATGAATTGGGGATGGGAGGATCTATGAGATCAAATTATTTTCATAATAATACCAAGACATCATTTTCCTTTTTCAGTCTACTGACATTTGCCCTAGTAGGGCAAAAGCAATGGTGAGCAAAACTGTTGGCTCCTTAGCACAAATCAATGCAGTGACACCAAACTGTACTAGAGTCATTGTAGTCTTCAGATCCACAGACTCACAGTGTAGAGGGAAAGAAGGCCAATGTCACTTTAAAATGTCCTCAATAAAGCAAGGAAATTATTAATTTTATTAAATTTTGAATAACATTTTTTTAATATTCTATGTGTAAAATGGGAAATGCACATGAAGTTACTTGTGCTGCAAACCCAACTACAATGGCTGTCTTCAAAGAAAACAAATGATAGGACTTAATACCAATGATAAAACTCGAGAGAAAGAATTTTTGGAGAACTTGTATCTGCCAGCATTAGCTTGGCAGCTTTCTAATACTTAAAGAATTTTCTAATGAGATTGATGGCAATATTAATGAATGCAATTTTTGATATTGTATAATGAAAGGTCAACCATTAGAAGAAATGCATAACTCAGAGAACCAATATTTTTCAAATGAGCAAGGAATTTATATGATTTTCAAATTATTCATAGGTAAAAGATCCATTCAATGGCAAGATAGACCAATCCAGTGTAGTGTAAGAGATCACAAAAAGTTCATTGATATTATTTAGATTCTTTTTTTTTTTTTTTTGAGACAGAGTCTCGCTTTGTTGCACAGGCTAGAGTGAGTGCCGTAGCATCAGCCTAGCTCACAGCAAACTCCTGGGCTCAAGCAATCCTCCTGCCTCAGCCTCCTGAGTAGCTGGTACTACAGGCATGCGCCACTATGCCTGGCTAATTTTTTTTTCTATATATATTAGTTGGCCAATCAATTTCTTTCTATTTATAGTAGAGACGGGGTCTCACTCTTGCTCAGGCTGGTTTCGAACTCCTGACCTCGAGCAATCCGCCCGTCTCGGCCTTAAAGAGTGCTAGGATTACAGGCGTGAGCCACCGTGCCCGACCTAGATTCTATTAATAGATTACAACTAACCTTTAAGAAACTACCATTTGTGGGCCAGGGACAGTGGCTCACATCTGTAATCCTAGTACTCTTGGGAGGCTGAGGTGAGAGGATAGCTTGAGGTCA